AGGAAAGGTGGTGGAGGAGGATGGCGTGATCGACTGTGTCGAATGCGGCGGAGAGGTCCAGGAGGACAAGGAGGCAGAGGGAGCCCTGGTCACAGATAGAGAGGATGTCATTTGTGACTTTCACAAGCTCAGTCTCTGTACTGTGGGCGGAAACCAGACTGGAGGAGTTCGAAGAGGGAGTGGGAGGAGAGGTGTGCTTGAAGTTGATTGGCAACAACGCGTTCTAGGACTTTTGCGAGGAAGAGCAGGTTAGAAATAGGGCGGTAGTGGCTGGGGTTTGAGGGATCTAGGGAAGGTTTTTTCAGGAGGGGGGTGATGACAGCAGGTTTGAGGGGGGCAGGGACTGATCCGGAGGAGAGGGACTGGTTGATGACGTCAGCCAGTAGTGGGCAGAGGAGGGGGAGCTGGGTGACCAGCAAGTTGGTGGGGAGGGGGTTGAGGCAGCAGGTGGTGGGTTTCATGGAGGTGATGGTGGGTGAGAGGGAGGAGAGAGAGATGGCGGATGTTAAGTATTTTAGATGAAAAGGTCCATGACCTCCTCGCACTTGGCATTTGATACAAAGATTGAGGAGGCCTGAGGGAGGGCACGGAGGAGGTAGTGGATGGTGGAAAAAAGGATTTAAACTCTGGTTGAGGAATTGGAATCCGAGCACATGGATGTTCTGTATCACACAAATGTAAAATGGCTTAGTTTAGGAAAGATCTTGAAAAGAGTGTGGGAACTGAGAACAGAGATTGATTGATTTTTGGACATGAAACAAAAAGATTCGGATTTCCCACAGCTGAATGATGTGAATTGTCTCTCTGATTTCGCATTTGCTGTTGATATCTTGGGCCACATGAATGAACTGAATTCACAACTGCAACGGAAGGGGGCCTGTGTGCACGATTTGTATTGCAGTGTCAAGTCATTTATGACAAAATTATTTATTTTATCGCGTCAGATAGGAAACAGGCTGTTCGCCCACTTTCCAACTTTGCAGCAGATTACTGTTTGCGATCAAAGCCTTAAAAAGTATACTTTGTCACTACTTGACTTACATGCTGAATTTTCTCGCTGATTCCAGGATTTCAATTTGATCGAAAATGACCTGTCTTTGGTCTCTTCACCTTTCTCCTTTGATGTTGACAAAGCCTCATTTGACCTCCAACTCGAGCTTATTGACCTGCAATGTGATCCATGGCTTGCGGAGCAATTCAAATCAGTGCTGCTTCTCAGGTTTTACGCCTCTCTTAATGAATATACCTTTCCAAAAATAAAGGCTCAAGCCCGCAGAATGCTTGTGCTGTTTGAATCAACATATAATAATAATAATAATAATCCTTGCATTTGATATAACATACATATGCGAGGAGACATTTTCTGTGATTCTGTGAATAAATTAAAACATAGATCTGCGATGACTGATGACTACCTTGCAGTAGTACTCCGCATTGCAACAATGGAGACGATGCCTGACTTCAATTGTTTGGTTAACACACATCAGCTCTTTCATTCTTTCCATGGAGTGAGCTTCTCACATTCTCATCAACATGTGAATAAATGAATAAATATTGAATAAATGTCTGCTCAATGAGTTGTTTTTATTTAACCTAATTTTAATGAATGTCAATTATATAGACTTTATTTTATGCATGTATAAGTGTAAGACTTGATTTTGAGCTATTATTAAGCATTTGCATCTATATTAAGTGTGTGACCCGCAAAGCTTACCAAAACTCGTGAAATGGCCCGCCAGCTAAAATAATTGCCCACCCCTACTTTACAGTATATCCAATTAAGTACTTTGAAACGTCTTCTCGATGTGAAAGGCACTATGTCAAAGATAAGTATTATTAACCACCATTAAAATCACTTTCTTCAAATTTTGTAAAATTCTTAAATTCAGTCTAAATTTGAAAATCATTTTAAAAAGAAAAACAACATCAAAATTAAGACAGTATTCTGCATGATCTTAAACTTTAAGCCTTAGTGCTAAGACCATATGAGATTTTGGATCTCTTGGTTCTGAACCTGGCCAGTGGAAGGTGCACAAAGGTGTCCCAGGATGATGACACATTGTGTGAAAGAAGTTGGCCATCCTTATAACAGCTTAGGTGAGATCAGTAATTCGATATGATGGAATTGTACTCCATCAACCAGTTTCTACAACTCATGCGACAGTTCGCTTTTGCTGCAGGTCATTGCCGCACTACACCTCCAAATTTTTTGTTAAGAAATGCACAAACAGAGTATACTTATCACAATGTTGGTTGTTTATGGAGCTCATTTTGTGTCTGCTAAACATCGACAGGATGTGCATTGCTGAAAGGATAATAGATGTCTGGTGAGATAAAAAGGAATCAATGATTCCAGAAGTTTGGATTGTATCATAAAACAAAGAACAAAGGTTGAGGAGATTAGAAATATCAGGCAAACTGTAACTCTGTTGCAGACGTCTTTCTATGAACTATGTAACATCCATTATTTAAAGATACTGTAGTTAAAGATGGTTCCGATATGTGCTGCTGTCTTAGGTTCACATTACTTGCCAATGCTATGCTGGTGCTGCGGTGGAAATGAAGGTATTTCAAATAACATAAGTCATAGAGTTATAAAGATAAACGTGATTCATATCTGAAGGTACATAGCATAACCTGTCTGATAAAACAGTGATGGTATTTGGAAGCAGTAAACAGGAAACCATAACACCAGTCATTACACAGGATATGGGTATGGGATATGCCAAAGGCCTCTGGTCAATGAAGCGGCCCTGGAATCCCTTTTAAAAATAAACTTATGGAAGATTCTGGTTCCCTCCTGAAAGGCCAGTTCATCATTCTTTAAGCTTGCTCAATACTTTTAACTGCAAAGTCACTCAGATCTTCAATGTGGCAGACCTGAAGATCCCTGCATGAAGCAACCCTACACAGAAGCTCTGTATCAGTGAGGATTTGTGAATAATGTTCCATCTTTCAAAGGAAAAATCCCAGGGAAACATGGGAGGATCTGCATAAGCATGAAAAGATGGGGCCAAGGATGGGGTTGATAGGGTCCCGGAGCCTGGTGTCAGAGAGGACATGGGTTGCAGAGTTCTGGACGTTAAAGGTCCCATGGTATTATTCAAAAAGTGAAAGGATGTCACTTTTGTTGGGCTTTACATCAATATTAAAGTGTTTACAGATTGTTCAGTGTATATATTTAACTACATTATTATGTGTAATCAGATACTTTGTGCTAGGGCTGGACATGATGACAATATGTGGTTTGCTGTTTCTGGTGGTTGATGACATATTGGGCATTTGGATCAATTTAAGATCCTATTTTCATAATATCAGGTATTATGAAAATAAGATTATTATTACAGAACTTCTCTTATTTGAATTTAACGGTGCAATTTAGGGTTGTTTTTATTAAGATAGTTTATTATGTTGAGGAAAGGCCACATCTAATAAAAGTAAACTTTTAAAGACCCTATTAACTATTAACTAGAGAATTAATTTGGTCATTCTCTTCACGGGCTGTTTGAGGGATGTGCTGCACAAATCCGCTGCTATGATCCACAAAATACACAGTCTACACTTTACAGTAAATCTGTGAAGTGCTTTGAGATGTTTTAAGGATGTGGTAAAGTGTTATATGAAATGCAATAATCATTTATTATTGTAATTATAGAATGAAATGTAGAGATCCTGTTATCTGAGGAAAGGCTGATAGAAGGAAATCACCACCAATTTTCATGTAAGAACCTCGCAGGTAGTGGAATTAGACTCATGTCATAATATTGCATGATTGTATCTTCTTTCATTCACTTCAGCAACAAGAAGATTTTCGTTGTGCACCACATGGGTTGTATTCCTGAACAGAGCCATGTCATTAGTTTGGTACATACAGAAAAAGTATGAATTTTAAAAGTAAACCTGGAGCTGCATAAAGAGCATCCTCAAGTGTTAGATTCTCCTTGTGTTGTCCTCTGAGCACTGTTAAGCACTCTGATACTGTACCCTGGTGGAGGGCGCAATATAAGTGCAAGTTGTTGTTGTGCCATGACTCGCTCTGCCGTCCCCCACCTCCGCAACATCGCCTCGGCTCCACCGTTGTCTGACACCCCAGGTCGCTGAAACCCTCATACACGCATTTATAACATCCAGGCTTGACTGTGCAAACTCCCTGCTTGTCGGCCTCACCAACTCCTCCCTCCATAGGTACCAGATCATCCAGAACTCTGCAGCCCGTGTTCTCTCCCACACCAGGCTCCGTGACCCCATCACCCCCATCCTCGCCTGACTCCATTGGCTTCCCATTGCACAGAGGATACAGTTCAAGATCCTGGTCCGCACCTTCAAAGCCCTCCACTCCCCCCGACCTCTGCGACCCCCTAGCCCCCTACCAACCTGCCCACTCCATCCACTCAGCAGGCTCTGTCCTGCTTGACATCTCCTGCCTCACCCCACCATTGTCGGGCGGGCTTCAGCCACTCTGCCCCCACCCCCTGGAACCCCAACCTGCAGTCCCTCCACTTCGCCCCCTCCCTTGCCTCCTTCAAGACCCTCCCCTTCGACTGCTTTCCATCACCCTCCTTCCCCACCTGCCCTCCACCCTCCTCAATCCCGACCCCGCGCTCGGGTCCGAAACACTGACTGTCCAGCGCCTTGGCACGTCCTCCCGACGTGAAAGGCGCTATACAAATGTTGTTGTTGTTGTTGTTGCTGTTGCTCATAAATTCAGCATTGGCGAACATTCATCACGTGAGCCCTAAAACCCTACGATCACAACAGACTAGAACATTGAGGAAGAGGAGGAGTGCACCTGGTTATCTATAGGTCGTACTCTGCTTTGCTACTGCAACAGAGCAAACGGCTTCCGTCCAGACAGTAACTTCACTGCAACTTACAGTCGTTGCCGAACGCCACACGGCAGGAGCGCGAGTCCCGGGGCAGCACTGCACGAGCCCTTGTGACACACACACACACACACACAAAAGAACTACATTTCCCAGAGTGCCCGGCGCCGGAAGCCCGGGTGGGCCGTGCCGAGCGAGGGCAGGTGGCTGTGTGGGGGAGGCCCGGCCCGGCCTGGCCCGGGGTGGGGTGGCGTGGCTGTGCGTCACAGGCTGCCTGTCGCCGGCACTCTGGGTGGGGAGTGTGTGAGTGTGTGTGGGGGGAAAAGTGCCACATTCGTTTCGTAAGTAAAAGCGAATTTGCGCCCAAGTGTATTGGTCGGCACCGAATATTCGGAAAGAGGTCAATGTTTGGGCACAGACTGACCGGAGGAGAGGAGACAGACACACACACAGACACACACAGACACGGGCGGCTCGGGCGGGGCTGGAGCCGGGGGGGGCCTTGTGGGGGACCGCGGCCTACACACACAGGCGGCAGAAAATGGAGGGACAGTGAGAGCGAGTGAGAGAGAGAGAGAGAGAGAGAGACACACGGCCCTGAGGAAGGCAACTCCTCCACAACCCGACAGCTCCCTCGCGTGAGGACTGGCCTCGCGCTGCTCTGCTCTGCGCTGCTCTGCTCCAGTCGGGGCAGCTGAGGGGAGGCCCGGGATGAGCAAAGAAGGTACTGGGGATCGGCCGCCCGCACTGCACGGCCCACACACTGAATTCATCAGCTCCCAACAAAAGATCCCTCCGGGGATGTGTAGGGAGACGTGCACGTCCATTGCTGGGCCTCAATACAACATTACATTGGGACACGCGGGAGAAGTAAAGGGGATAGCAACACGTTGCATTCGTGTAGCGCCCCTCCACTGCAGGGCAGCGTCCTAGAGCGCTTGGGGCTAATAAGAAGTCACACACCATGTTTAGCAGGTGCACTGTATGCAACAAAGTTAGGATTTATTTCCCAATGTGCACTTAACTGCCTCTGTGTCAGTCATTTATGGTCAGTTCTTTGTGTTCGGGAAGGATGCACAACACAGTGAAAGGAGTGCTTTTTTTTAACTGACCTGTGTTTTGGTTTGTGGTTGTTCTGTGAATATTCCAGACTGGTGTCATGGGTTGTGAGTTCAAGCTAAAGGCCACCCTTGTATCATAGCGGTTTGTTGATCGAGTTCACGGTCCTTGTCCTCACTTTTAAATCTCCCCACGGTCTTGCCCGCCCTACCTCTGCGACCTCCTCCATCTGTACCAGTCTTTCGTTCAGTGGGCACTGGTCTGTTTCACTATCACTGTCGGCAGTTGGGCTTTCAGCCTATCTGCCTCCACTCTCTGAAACTCCATCTGACTTGGCCTTTCCCTCCCCTCTTTCAAAGTCCATCTCAAGACCTTAATAATAATAATAATAATAATCCTTGCATTTGATATAGCGCTTTTCACGTCGGGAGGACGTCCCAAAGCGCTTCACAGAATATACTGTAAAGTGAATTGACTGTATATTTGTGGGCGAACGCGGCAGCCAATTGCGCACAGCAATGTCCCACAAACAGTCGTAGATTGAAAATGACCAATTTATTATTGTTTTGGGTTTTTTGGAGGGATTATTATTAGGCTCTGTGTGGAGTAAGGAAACTTGCCCAAGGTTTCGCCCTGCCTGGAATTGAACTCAGGTCTCTCGCTTGCAAAGCGAGTGCTCTAACCACTGAGCTACAGGACTCCATTAACCGTGCCAGCGGTCATTATCCTCTACTTGGGTAGCACGCCAGTACTGTAAAGCTCCTTGGTTCATCCTCCCCACATGTAAGGCGCTATATAAATTAATTTTGTGTTGTGTCCGGTGAGTTTAGAACGTTCATTTGCTGTAAATGTGGAACGATAGATTTAGAGAGCTCACATTATGAATGTTCTTTAATGCAGGGCTTATGATGAATAGGACGACAAGTTATGCAGCCCCAGGTTTACTGTTAAACCTAGATGGCCCTTGGTCTTCTTTCTCCTTGCAAATTCTTATGTTCTTATAATTCTGCAAAATACATTATGTTATATTGAGAAAGACAGCACTGCAATATGTGATACAATGATTTGGATGTTCCATACAGGTGACAAATATTGGTACAGAATTTTTTCAATTGGATGCCATCAAAATAGTAGTAGAGGAGACTCAATAGCATATCAGCTGATAGCACCCAGTAAGGTACCTGCTGAATTCAACTTAGGTTCCTGCATCTGCGCAATGTGAACTCATTACATCACTTGTACAATCATGTCTGAAATACATATGTTATCAGCTCAAATGATGCTGCTTTTTGTTTTCAGTCAGCCACGATTGTGAAAGTGCACTTGAGATCCAACACCAAGCTTCAATCAGATGGACTTTTTAGTTTACCATGGTGTGACCCATATTGCGCAATACGGACAAACATTGTGATGATTATTAAGAAATTGACTAAACCTTTAGCAGAAGAGAGGCTTATAATGGGATCAGGCTCTGGGGAACAGAAGCTTTACAAAGTAATTGAGTATTCCTTGGTCTAGTGCGTCAGGTCTGATGTATTTAATACACATTGATGTGCATTACTTTGTTTATGAATTGTAAATATAGAATTAAATAAGAAACCTTACATTTGGTATAGTGCCTTTCAGGTTGAGAGGACATCTCAAAACGCTTCACAAGATTACTGTAAAGTCGAGTGACTATGTGTTTAGTGGGTGAACACTGCAGGCAATTTCCACACACAGCACTGTCTCGCAAATAGCCATGAAGTACATAACCAATTTTATTTGGGGATTGTTGGCCAGTACACCCTCTCCTTTTTGAATAGTGTCATGGGATCTTTAATGTCCACCTGAACAGGTATTCAGGTTTACCGTCTCATCCGAAGGATTGCACTTTCAATAATGCAGCACACTGCATTGAAGTCTATATGAGATTCCTCTAATGTGGGGCTTGAACCTACGACCTTTTCACTCAGAGTGCTACTGACTCTAACCAGATTGACACACAAATTACATAGTTACATGGCACTTTTGGCTCTACTATTCCCTGCCGGCGTTTATACTGTATTCAACACGAGCCCCCACTCCTCTTGTTCCCGTGACTTATATCTTTCTATTCCCTTCTGCCTCATATATGCATCATTTTTTTCTCTTTTTCTCAATTATGTTTTTTGCTTCAACCCTAGCTACATTCTCACCACCATTCTCGTTAGGGATCTCCAACCTGACCAATTGATCGCGATCGACTTCTTGGAGCATCAAGAAGGGCCCACCAAACACCCACACCAGTGCAGGCAAATCCGTGCCAAAGTTTCAGTAGCTATTGAGCCACAATACCCATGATCATAAATAAAGAAAAATTCAATAAAGAAAAAAATATTTGGTTGGCCGACCATAAAGGTTGGTGACCACACGAAGAAGTTGCTTCCAAGCTCCCTTTTAGATCTTATATTTATCTTGTATTTATGCCTCTCATTTTGGACTCACCATCAAGTGGAAACAGCCCAACAATATCCAATATAATTTATACTTTTCCATCTATATCATTTAATTCATAGTTTTTGCTGGATACAAACAGCATCAATTACCTCAGCTTGGGTATCGCATGAATTTATGGTTTCAGACCTATTTACAAGAATGAGATGTATTGGGAAATAAAATTACAAATCATGGACATCCAGGCCAGTTCAATTAATATCTGAAAATAGCTTAACATATGACTCTTGGTCAGACATTATATGTTAGATGCAGAATAACTCTGCTGTGGATACTCAATGTAACACTATGTATTCTTTTCTTTCAGTATTTCTAATTGCCATTTTTCTGATACCCAGTAAAATTCGTTCTTATAGTAGTAATTGAGAGCATTCTTTATTTGAGTTAATTTATTTGATAGTATGAAAGTTCCATCTAGTTCTGTGTATTAAAAATAATAACCTGACATTTGTTTTTGATTTTCAGTACAAGTCACGTGCAACCGCTGTTTCCCTATTTACATTATCAGTCTTTTATTGGTCGCCGTGACATTTTAACAATGTGACATTTAGCTGTACTAATATTTTAATAGTAATCCGAGCGTCCATCATTGACTTCCGGCATGAAGGGTGCAATTTAAATGCAAGTTGTTGTTGTTGTGATCTATTGAAACCAAACTCCCATTTCCATCTGTGGGTTTGTTTTTCTCCTGCATAAAGGATAGCAGTTACAATAAGTCCTCATTTTTGTTATTGAATCATAGGTGGATTTCGAAAACGAAAGCATGAGAACATGCAGTCACGTAACCGAAAGGAAGAAAATGAAAATAAAGTAAACTCATCTTCACCGGTGCTATTGTCATTCAAGTGTAAGTTTTTTTTTGTAGTTTTGTCTAGTACCTCTGTGGTTAAATTCTTCCCCCCCTCCCCTTTTGAGGCTTTTATTCTTTGCCCAATATCTAATGCTTTTTTTTACAATCTTTTCCCATGCTTTTGTCAGAGCCCCTTTTGAGCTCTTTAGTGGAGGCGAATTTTTGTTTCTTGATTTTCTGGGTCTAAGTGATCGCCTATATTTGGTGCCTCTTTCAGGGGTATGTATTGCCTTTCAGGGAAATCTGTGGTCCTCTCACTTTATCACAATGTTTTGGAGCAGAGCATCAGTGCACTTGCACTATAATGCCTTAAAATGGTCTGACCTGAAGTTCAATATACAATACAAATTACATTTGTCAGGAGGAAGTCCCAAGGCGCTGGACAGTCAGGGATTTGGACCCGAGCTGGGGGTCAGGATCGGGGAGTTTGGAGGGCAAGGAGGGTAAGAAGGTGGCCGAAGGCTCGGTCGAAGAAGAGGGTTTTGAGACACGCCTTGAAGGAGGCAAGGAAGGGAGCGAGGCAAAGGGAATGTGGGATGGGGTTCCGTAGGGTGGGGACAGAAAGGCTGAAGGCCCGGCCGCTGATGGTGGAGCGGGCTGGGCGGGGGATGTGGAGCAGGCCAGAGCCGGCTGAGCGCAGGGAGTAGACGGGTTGGTATGGGGTCAGCAGGTTGCAGAGGTAGGGAAGGCTGTGGTAGGCTGTGGAGGGACTTGAAGGTGAGGATGACGATTTTGAACTCTATCCTCAGACGTAACTTCCTGCTCTTTTTATAGCACGGAACCCACATCAGTTCATTCCATGTGAAACCAGCTAGAGCGGGTTTGAATAGTGTGGATTTGAATTTTATGCATTTTGCACACTGTGTTGTAACAGGACTCCACTGTACTAAGCCCATTAGGATTCAGTCTTTTGCCCAGGGATGAGAAAATATTTGTCAAAGTTTGGGGAAGAAAAATGATCAATAGTTTTTTCTGTTGTCCTACAAGGAAGCATCATGTAATCCTTTGGATTGATATTTTAACAAATAAACTTGAATCAGGGGACTGACTGACTTTCTTTTTTCAAAAGCATTTCAAAATGAGCTTGATGCAAGGCATGACAAGCACGAGAGGCTGGTGAAGCTCAGTCGTGATGTAACCATTGAGAGTAAACGGACTATTTTTCTTCTGCAAAGAGTAACCAGGTAAGTCATATAAACCTTTTTAAGACCCCATTAAGATGTTGAGGTTATTGAATGGATTTTGAAAGGAGATATCCTTTCTAATTTTGAGAACAAAAAGGAAACCATAACTTAGCCTCAACTCTGGCAGCAACACATTTTAAGTCTTTGCATTAGGGTGGTGGTTAGCAAGCTCACCTCGCAAGCAGGAGAACCTGGGTTTGATTCCCGGCAGGCCAAAACCTTAGGTAAGTTTCCTTACTCCGCACGCCTCTGTTTAGCTAGCAGTAAGTAGGAACCTGGTTGTTAGTCGATTGGCGGATCGCTTTCTGGGAGTAATAATCCGGGGTCACTCAATTCATGACTGTTTGTGGGACACCTCTGTGTGCAATTGGCTTCCGAGTTTCGCCCACAAAATACAGTCTGTCCATTTTACCATTTATTCTGTGAAGCGCTTTGAGGCATCTCAATGACTTGCTAAGGCGCTATATCAAATGCAAGGATTATTGTTAAGTGATGCATGAGAGCACCACACTGTTGTGATAAGGTATAGGTTTGTGTCCCATTCTAGGCCGATAAAATAGGAAAGGACTGGACTCTGATGAGAAGGAAAATCTGATGGCCACTCTCAATCCTTTTAGTTGGAAACTAGATTTCTTTCAATTGGCCTCACTTGCCTGGGTGGGGGCGGGGTGTGTGGGAGGATGAAATGAGAAAGAAAATATTCAGCCTGATTTCCTGTTTCTGACAGCTATCCAGTGACCGCTTGCCATAAATGAATAGTATGGTGGTACTCAATGTTTGGGCTTGTGCAAAAATAACAGTGCTGGGGTGATTAATCTGTCTCTATTTGTAAATAGTATCTTTATTCTGCCAGCTCAAGTTAATATAAATATCCACTTGTATGTAGAGATTCAAACCAAAGAATTAAGCAAGAATAAAATAAATAGATAGCCAATGTAATATTAATTTTCCGTAATATTGTGATCTGCTATTGTATATTCACATTGACTGCCAATGGCGATAAGTTATTCATAACACAAAAAACAACTTGCATTTATATAGGATAATTATGTGTAGGATAATGTCTCAGTGTGGTGTATACCTTAGGTGAATTTAGGCTTTTTTCCCCCCCAAAAGATACTTGTAAAGGCTTTTCTTTTTTTTCCCACTGCTTGTCCAGCTAGGTCTACCCCACCTGTTAGGACTTTGGCCTGCAGGTTCAATGAGAGCTGAGTGGGAAGAGTGACTGGTCTGCCCTTCAGAGTCCTGCTGATGAGCCAGCCCGGCTGTGCTTTCATCAGCAGTGCTCTGGAGTATGTGAAGCCACTTGGCTCAGGAACGGGACTACCGAGAGTCTACCACAAATAGGGTGGGCTCGATTCTGAAATTTCATTGCCAAGCATGTTAGATTCGAGCACGTGCTTGTCATATCTACTCATCTGGAACTATCTATTCTAATCCCCTACTACTGCCACTTTAGTATGATTTTCCTCAAATATGTATAGTGTTTAATTCCCTTTGAAAATTGATCTGGACTTTGCTTTGACAAACATTTCTGGCAAGATATTCAATCTAACCACCCTGTATGTTCGTCTTCTAATTTCCTCATTTTACTGCAACTCATGGCCACTGTTGAGTTATAAATGCTCTAGATAGAGGACAAATTTTACATCCTTTTTGTCAAATAATCGAGTTGGAACTGTAAGTTATCAAATTCATCTCTTCAAATTTAAGTAGTAGTTCCACTTACTAGATAATATCTAATAGTCCTTGGATTTGATATCGCGCCTTATCACGTCTTCAAGACGTCTCAAAGAGCTTCACAGGATATACCGTAAAGTGAATTAACTTTATATGGTTTGGGCGAAATGTGGCAGCTAATTGCACAGAGCAGTGTCCCACAAACAATTGTGGATTGAGTGCAAACAAAATGTGAACAATATTTGGAATATGATCTGATTTATACTTCACTGTAGTGGCTTCCAGAGAAGAAGTCTGCTTCCTCCTTCTGACCCTCTGATGGGGCTCTGAAGGTTTTCAACAGTTAATATTTTAAGCTTCACATCTTTAATTCCTTGCTCCACATTTATTCAGCATCTGTTGATCTATAATGATCCTCATCCTCTGTAGAATAGATATGCCCCTTGTTACTCAGGAATTCCACAACTTGTTTGATGGCAACAATGTTCATGAACTTCAGTGTTCTCATAAAGTCGATGCTCATGCTCTCCTGTTCTCGACAGTTTCAAATAAATTTACCACCTGGCTTTGTTGACTCGTCAGTCCACAAAGTTAAGTTTAAAATGTAAGGAGCCCGTGATTGTTAACTGATGGTCTAAAAACATTTCCCTTTTCAGTGTTCCTGAAGTAGAAGATCTATTGAATGAATCTGAGAGCAAATTTGAGGTTATCAGACAAAAAATCAAGCAAATTGCCCAGGAATTGGTGGGTGAAGATATGCACCAGTTTCACCGAGCATTTTCTCCAGGTAAAGAGCTAATTTAATGTTTTTACATGTAAATAGTGATGCTTATTTTTTTTAAAAAAACCTTATGCCTTTGGACTGACACTCTAATATTGGAAACATTAAACTGTTACGAACAGTTGGTAAGAACTTATTTTTAATAAATTAAACAACTAAATGGATATATAATCTATTTTCACTTTAAACACGAGAAATCATCTTCCTCTTGGTCAGATACAAGCATTTTAACCTTTCCATTCTATACTATAATTTGCTTTCAAGCTTTGTAAGTGATATGGTGGGAGAAGTTTAAAATAAAATCCAAGTTGTATGTGGTGATTTTTTTTTACAACATGAAATAACCAACAAATTACATTTGTATAGTGCCTTTCATGTCGGGAGGCGCTGGACAGTCAGGGATGTGGATTTGAGCAGGGGATTGGGATCAGAAGGGGTTGGGATCAGGAGTGGTGGCAGGCAGGGAGGGTAGGGGTAGGAGAATGACCGAAGAGGAGGGTCTTGAAGGGGGTAAAGGAGGGAGCAAGGTGAAGGGATTGTGGGATGGAGTTCCGAAGGGTGGGGCAGAGAGGCTGGGCCCAACCTATGATGGTGGGGCAAACAGTGCGGGGGACATGGAACAGACCAGGGCAAGGCCGTGGAGGCCTTTGAAGGCTAGGATGAGGATTTTGAACTCTATTCTCTGGGGGATGGGGAGCCAGTGTAACCGGACAAGGATGGGGGTGATGGGGTCACAGAGCCTGGTGCGGGAGAAGACACAAGCTACAGAGTTCTGAATGAGCCTCAGCTTGTGAAGGGAAGAGTTGGGAAAGCCGACAAGCAGGGAGTAGGCGTAGTCAAGCCTGGATATAATAATTTTAATGATATCTGTGAAACTGTTTTCTTTAAGCTTGTGAATATTTTAAAGAAATTGCAGCTTCACTATATTTAACACCTTTTTAAAGTGTAGGTAGGCTATAATACTGCATAACTGTCATTGATATTGATATCGTGCCCCCTCTCCCCTTTCAAGTCCCGCCTGAAAACTTTCCTCTTCGACCGTGCTTTCCCCCCTTCCACTGCTAAGCACTCTGAGATGCTAGCCTGCGTGGAGGGCGCTATATAAGTGCGAGTTGTTGTTGTTGTTCTTGATATGAAAACAAAATTACACAGAGAGGTAAGCGTATAAACATTTATTTTACCAAAGTGTTTACTGGTCAAAGATGAGATTACTCTGAAAAAAGTTGAGTTCCTGAAGCTGGAAATAGATCATTCATGTTTATATAAACAGAAGTGTGTTTTGTGATCGTTTGGGATGAGTAAGAGATAATTCAGACCTAGAAGATCGTCAAAGTATTATGGCTGTGGATACCAACAATTGCATAAATTAGAAATATACCAAGAGATTTTTGGCCGGTGTCCTCAGCAGTTAAGTTCCAACAGACGTGAAAGAAACTGAGCATTACACAGTTACGAAAAGGAATTACAAAACAAGTGAAGCCACTCCCTGTATTCCTCTTGTGTGTGCTTCAGCTCAGTAAGTGTGTTTAACAGGTCATTTAACAGGGACAGACAATGCTTCCTCATGTGTTTTGCACATAAATCATAGTTTGAACTCTGGAAGTTCGATTTGGTTTTGTCAGTTCCACTTAATTAGTATTATCCCACTCTTAAGATGTAGATTTTAATTGTAATTAAATCCCTTTGGTCAACCTTGGTGCTCAGCTCACTGAACCAAGCCATTATAGAACTGTGCCAAGAAGCTGCCATGTTGTACGGGGAAATGATTAATAACTAGGCAAAAGCTTCTGGAAAATGTGCTGCTTGTTTTGAGGAAGAAAGCTGTAAGGTGGGGGTGGGAGAAAAAAAAGTCTTCAGCTAAATTGTAAATAAAGATTGCATTTTTAAGACCAGACATGCAAATATTATGTATTCCATAAAAGTGTTGCAGACATGAAGGATATACTGTATTGTAATTTTACTTCGTTTTATAGCATTTGTGTTTTGGAACTTGTGAAGTGTGCTGTTATCAGTTGAAAACAGGAAGTTCCAATTTGCAATTTGAATCACATGGTTTTCATTTATTAAACGTTAGTGATAAAGTGGTATGTGGGTTGTGTCACGTATCAGGACCCATTCCTAAGCAACACAATGTTTCATTTCTTCGTGCAATGTTGGAGCAACCTCCTGCTGTGAGAATGAGTGTTATCTAGATGATGCTTGTTACGGCCAGAAATGAGATTATTTAAATTAAGAGCGATAAGAGACGCAGCCCAGGTTGTGTCCTGGGCAACAACCCCCCAAATAAAATTTAGTAATTCAGTTCATTCATTGCATTTGGTATAGTGCCTTTCATGTCTGGAGAATGTCTCAAAGCGCTTTACAGGATTTATTGTGATATGGAGTGACAGTATTTGTAAGTGAACACGACAGCTCAATTGTGCACAATATAATGCAAAATTACATTTGTATAGCTTGGGGAGCCCAGTCTGTGTGTTGGGGTACTGCTAGGGTTTAACAAGCTAAAACAGCATAGCTTGCTAATGTGAACACCCTCTGGTAAATTTCCCATTTGTTGTCCAGCAAGCACCCTAACAATTAGAGCTTTGGCTTTCAGGGTTAATGGCTTGCATGAAGGGTGCTATATAAATGCAAGTTGTTGTTATTGAGCTGAGTAGGAAGAATTCCTGCCCCTCCAAGCCCTGTTAGTGAGCCAGGCTGGCTGGTCTGTTATCATTGGTGTCGTGGAGCTCAGGAACCAGATTTTTGAGACCGCTACAGAGGGTTGATTTGATTCTGACATTACATTGCCAATCAAAGCCAGCTCAAGTCCCCAAGGAGACCATGCTTACCTTCCCTCCCCCACCCCCCCAGACGATAGTGTCTAATTTTCCATATTGTTTCCCATTAAGCACAATATAAAATCTAGATTTTAAAAAAGGGGGGAATATTTGAACAAATGACAACAACGGCTATCACTTCAGTCATTAATGAAGCCTGACTTAGAGAGTTTTATCAACGTGATCTGGAATGGAAGCTTCTATTGTACTCAAACGTCACACTGTTCGAGTGATCTCGCCAGCCTTGACCTGCACTCCTGTCAAAAGCTGCTCTTAGAGGTTTGCATATTTTGTTTACAGTCATGAGGTTCCATTCTAACAAAAATTAAGATAACAAACCCGCTTTTTAATTCAGACAAACCAAATACACTAAGACTCCCATTCGTTTGGTGATTGTATTATGCCCTGTGAGGGGGAGGGAATGGCTTCATTGATTTTTCCTGTGGATAAATGACATTCTATATTTCTTCAGAGATGATATGATAATAATAATCGTTGCATTTGATATAGTGCCTTATCACATCTTTGAGACGTCTCAAAGTGCTTCACAGTATATCCTCTTTCATCAGTGATAATAAATGTAATGGTAAGATCATGAGTATGTTTGTCATGTTATGGGCTGGTCCAACTATGGACTTTGATCTAAACCACAGAAAAAAAACTACTTTTTTTAAAAATGGAAAACTATATTTTCACCTTTATCCATGCTTCTGTCATGGTCAGGCTTGACTTCCCAACTGTTCCCTCCACAACTGCAGACTTTCTGGAACTCTGCAGCTCGTGTCCTTTTCCGCACTAGGCTCCCTGTCACCCCTATCCCTGCCTGGCCCCATCCTCCTCAACGTGAGCTGTGAAAAATACTATGTTGTGAAGAATGGTTAACCTATCCTATGGGGCCCAACTTCTGGAACCCCACCCGTTTCACCCCTTCTGTATTTGTCTTTGAATCACACCTGAAAACCTATCTACTTGACTGCACCTATGGTCACTTTCCTCTTCCCCCTTCTCACTTGCTCAGCATTCGATCTGGTCTTTGTGAAGCACTACGTGAAGGGCCACAATATAAATGCAAGTTGTTTATCTTTTCTATATTTTTTCATACAATGCAAGAATAAATGGGCCAAGATGCAGTTAATTTTTGTAACCTTTAGCCATTTGTCTCCCTGTACAATCTTGAATATTTTGCCATCAGATTTGATAGCTGCCAACTTTGAAAGGAAATGCTAATGCCCAAACTATTTTAGAATAGTTATCTAGGAGTCTTGAAATGAACTTCATGATTATGTTTACTGATGATTTATTTTAAACATCCCAGCAACAATGACGAGTAGCAGTTCCCACAAGAACTTCTAACGTTAGTAGAATTTAATAAGCTTGATGTGGTGAGTAACATTTCTGTAACCCCCCCTTGTTCTTGGAAGCTGCCTATGATGATACAAAAATGACCCATTATGAACCAATGAATCAAAGCATGCTGACCTTTTAATGCTTGGGTTAGATATCTTTCCAATCCATTTGAAAATTAAATCTTTTGCATCTATCTGATCACTGCTCAGGGATCAACTCCCTTCTCCAGACCGGGAACTTTTTTGGACGGTGGGACCATTTAGATGACTGCAATTGTCCTCCAGTCACGTACATTTCTCTTCTTACCCCCCTCCCCATTTCTTTTCCCCAAGGCGCTGACTTCCTGGAATTCAGTTCAATGAGTGCCATTTGTCCTCTGCTAACGTCTCAAATGACCATTGCTTGTGTGAGTCTACAAGGGGAATATCAGTAGGGCCATCAGGGTTGAATCTGATCCTTCCCTCGCTGACCGTCCACACACGCACACCCTTTCCTTAAGGGTCAGTGGATAGTGATCAAAGCAGGAATCCTGGTAATTTTTGTGTTCCCTCAACTCCCTCCCCAAAGCCTGGCTGAGATCAGTTTGTGGTACAGACGGGGATTCAAATCTACAATCCAAGGAATATGGCTTAGTGCTGCATTGGAGAAGGCTGGGTAGATATTTATTTTTGTCGAACCTTTTATCAAACTTTTCCAGTTCCTTGAATATTGTAAATCAAATGTAAAATTATAGTTGCCTACCAGTGCATTGCTATGGACGAGTACACAAAACATAGATTTACATGTACTGTACAGCATAGAAACAAGCCGTATAAGGTGAAAAGCTGGGGCCTTAATATC